GCACGATATAATTGTACTGTAGAGGCAGGGTTCAAGCGAGGACGGGCGTCGTTTGACAGACAGCCGAGTCGGCGCCCACGTCCTGCGTACTCTGGTGCCACGAGGTCAGATAGACACATCCGCCGAGTATGCCTAGCAAGTTAATTGTAGATACTAAATTAATATATTATTATAAATGTGTTATAATACAATGCAAACGCCGTCGCAAATTCAAAGCACGAAGAAGAAAAAACAACGTACATCGCGCTAACTGTGGACACGATCAACTTTGAACGTGAAGGAGGCGTTTATCTCTAAGCAATTTGCTTTCACTTTTAGAAATACATTTTTTTTAAATATTAATATTATTTTTATTCCGTTCACGGACAAAACTTTCGAGTACAAGTGATACTATACACAGTAACATATGAACTTATTATACACAGCAGCGCGCAAGTCAGATTATATGCGAAAATAATAATATAATATGCAACAAATTTCGAAACCGTTTTCTGGCGTAAGTACTCGACGTTTCATAACAACTACTATACGATCTGAAATATATGACATAATATTATATCCATTATCTTTATCACTGTAAACCAAGAGATACCTATTTAACTTTAAAATGGGTATACCTACAGTATACACAAACCAGTATTTCAATATACGGATCAGCGATGTGTGTAACGATGAAATAATAATAAAATATAAATTTCGGATATCCCTTTATTATTATTACAATAATTACATTACTTATTATATAAGGTATGTATGTTTATATCATTCTTATAATATTATTTGAAAATTTAAGAGTTATGAAATTTAGTAAGGTCAGGAGGAACGTAGAGACTTGTGTGCTATACCTCTGACCTTTAGAATAAAAATAAAATAAAACTGAAAATGGTTTAATGTTAAACACGTATAATAAACATCATATGCAATTATTGGAAAACTAGCAATCAAATAATAGTCGAAAGGCAAAAATGCTTAGCGTTGCGCGTCCACACTCGTCTGTGTGGAGTAAATTATAATATCATTGAACTGAGTCATTACTCATTAGTGTTCAACAGCGCAGTAAAAATGAATATAATAAAATTAAAATATACTAAAAAAAAATCGTTTAAAAAGAAACCTATTCCTAGTTATAGTATGAAAAATCCGTACGGTAATTACTAATTGACGCATGCCCTTATCTAGCCGGTGTATATATTTTTCCATATTATCTAAAGGGCAAAAACAAAATTTTGTCACCGAACTGTAAAAGTACCGTTTAAATTATTATCACATAAAAAACACGGCGCACGAGGAACAACAAATATGAATCGTTCCGGTCTATGAGCTGCGCGCATGCTGAACAGTGATTATATTATGGCGAAGATGATGATGATGGCTAATCCAGTTTTGCCAGGACTGGATTCCCGGGTAATTGCCGATTAACGGTTTCGCGGCCCCACTCAACGCAGTTATAATAATTCAAATCACTATTAAAAAAATAAATCCTAATTATAAGCTTGTATTCAAACGTACGAGTTGACTCACAACAACTTAATAATGTAAAATATCGTCCGATTGAAAATAATTGATTTAATAAAACATTGTGACAGAGCCGTAGCCAGCAATTGTCTAGCTAAGAGGTTCTAAAAAAATGTATACTCATAACAAATCCTTTTCAGAGACTGCAAAACAAAGAAGGAGACGGGGGCTGGTTATAAACCAATAAAACCACCCTCGCTATGTCACTTCATTGTGTTATCTCATTGTTATCGGCAAACAGGGGCCGTTTAAAATTAGAAAATAATGATATTATACACAAAGAAAAACCAAATTAAATGATATTGAAAAAATACCTGTGTGCGTGTGTTAAAAAGCCGTGCTAATGAAGAGTAATAATTCTTTGGCGGCGGTGTCGGCTCGAGCTTTGGTCTGGATTCTCGGTATCAGACTAGAAGAAAAAAAGTTAAAGGGGAAAAAATAATACTTAATCATTTTGAGCAAATACCTCAGAGCGCGTTTTCCGAACTAACAACGACTAACGTTACTTTAATTAATTGAACGTACGTTCTTTCGCCTGTCTTGTGCAACAAGTTGGAAAATTGAACCTAAGCAGCAAACGCACTCAGTAACGTGTTGGTTTGTTATGTATCATTTTTTTTTTATTTACCGTTGTTGTTCTATACTCGAGCACACACAACACCTGTTGCCCGGAAAATTTGAAAAATTTGCATTTATATTGGATCGTGCCCACACAACCGGCTTTGCGTAGATTATCACTACTTGTTATCATTTTCGCTTGGCGCCTTTTTTGTTTTTTAAATAGAATTTTTATCGCGGGCACTCATCAAAAGCGACGACTTGCACGGATTTGGTCGACACTTGTCTGACACATGCATAATACACATGTGTATTATGCCAAGTGATGATCACAGTATAATCATAAAATAACCAGAAGGGAAACTTTAAAAAAATTACACGGGCACTTATAAACCGCCGAAAAAGGCAGACTACCATATTGTTCTGCGGCTAAGAGCCAGTTATAATAGATGGACTAACATATAATTCCAGCAAAAAACGTGATAATTAGACGTATTCCTGTGATATAATAATGATAATAACAATAATACTGTTATCGTCGAGCGCGAGCGGTCTTAGATACATATATCGCAATAACTCTAATAATACTAAAAATATATTATTATAATAGACAAAGTAGCAATATCGTCGATTTCAATGTAGATTATACAAACCTGACGTTTACAAAATGTTCTCATTCAGTACAGCATTCACACGCAAGTCCAAATGTTGTTGCACGTTAAGTTTTCCACGAGCCCGTTACCCAAATTAAAAATAACAATAATATATAAACGAGTTTCGACGAGTTCAAAGGACTAAGATAGTGTTCTGGCAAGTACAAAAACCGCACAGTTTGTAATAATTTGAATGTCGGCTAAAAACTTGATATTTATTAATACTAATTTCAATCTTCTTAAAAACTAATTAGATATTACACGTAGTCGATAACCTGTTAAGGTACAATAAATTATAGTTAGTTGTTCACATATTAATAAACAAGTGCCATTTATATCATATATAACATTTTACCGAATTTTGAAAACGTGCCGACATTAACAGGACATTAAACCTGCGTAACATCTTTAAACTTTAATTTCCTAAAAAAAAGATAAGTATACGGTTTTTAATGTTTACCATAAAATAATTAATTTTTATGGTTGAATACTTTTTAAACAAATAATTTGATTATGCTTTTTAATTTTACTAAAATATGTTATTTAACCATAAATCTATTTATTTGTACGTTCAAATTATTTGTATGAAAAATCATATAGGAACGTTAAAACGTAATTATTCACTTTATCCGACAACATACACTTCGACAAGATATTGGTTATCCTACTAGTAAGGGGATGTATCGATTCGACTATATTTTCTTTTAAAAATAAGTAGCACGACGATATCTTACTTGTTTGGACGACATACTCAATACAGGGTACAAAATATTATTATTATAAATAATTTTTGTTAGGTACCGCGGTTAACTCCTAAGATGTATATATAAGGAGGGGAGACGCACCTCCCCAATGAAAGCGTTTTATAATCGGCTTGGAGGAGGGGCGGGGGTTGTAGGTTTGTTTTTACCAAAGATAATTTGCCTAATTACCTACGACTCTCTGATAATTGTGCGGCTTCTTTTTTCCTATAATCAAGATGCTACCTTTTCGGGAACCATATATTATAATTTTTGAGTCGACGGCGTATGTGTCTCAGAGGCGTTAGAGATAATAATATATGAAAATAAGACGTGTAATGATGCTTAAGAGGGCGCCACACCACTTTTTATTTGCGTGTAAAACATGTTTCGGGAGAAGCAATTTTCTGAAGAGCTGAACAGTTTTAGCGTAGTAAGACATTTACATAAAATGAAAATGATTAAAACTTTATCTAGATTTTATTAAAGGTGATTTTTAATAAAAATATTATAAAGTGAGTTTAAGATAAGTCATTCAGTAGGAGCTAAAAAACGGTGTTGTAAGATTTGGAAACAAATATTAAACGGCAACGTGGATATTTTTTCATCGTGTTAGTATAAAACTTGTATAGTTTTAGCTGAATATCAAGTTTTATTAAAATAATTGCCAGTGCTTTGCACCTTAAAAAAACGGTAGTGTAGCGTGTTTTTAACAGGAAGATGGCACGAACGTCTAGAGACAACTGTTTTCGATAAAATTGTAAAGTCATTTGTATTGTATTATGTATATAGCTGTTATTCGGTTAAACGAATAACAGCCAAGTATAAGTCGAATATATAGACAAGGCGTCTCTCTTTCGAGCGGAAACCAGTTTGACGTTGGGTCGGATAGGACTTCAGGCAACGGTACCTACACCCAAAGAGACGATTCGACACGCCGAGGCTTATATCGGAAATGCTATGGGTAATATTCTAATAACATACACCGATATATCTGATGGTGATCGTGATCGACACAATGTACATGATTCTGAACGCCCATGAAATCCGTGAAAAATCATACATTAAATCGATTCAATTACACATATTGTTGTTATGTATAGAGAAGAATTGCAGCCGCCGTCGCAGCGGATAAAATGTTGTTTTTCCGCTCTCTCATGCGGGCCACGACAGAAGTTAATGGAACAATATACTATAGCAGCGACTCTGACCAATTAAACTGGATATTATTACTTAATTGATATAATTTATCTACAGTCTGTGCTATTTATTGTTATTCGTCATCGGACATCGATCAATAGCCTTGCGTGTAACGATGTCGACGAGAATTCATTCATGTGAAGTGCACTCGTACCGGAAGAGAGAGAGGAAGTAAGTTCAAGAGTGAAATACTTTCCATGCGACTTGTTCAATTAGCAAAATCTAATTGACTCTGACCAAAAGCATTCTAATGTCGTCCGGTCAAAATCGAACTACGACTGAATCGTCTGAATGATGATCGGTTAACAGTATAAACTATATAAGTGACACTCACCTTTGATTTGACCGTTCAAGCCGTTCTTGATGCCGTTGGGGTAGAGGTGGCGGGCAGGGTAGGGCTGTCGATGGGCTGATGGCTGCGACGTTTGACTGTGGCACATCAACCGCACGCAACTGTCCCAACACCCACCGGGCTCGGCCCCTACACTCATCTCATTTCCATCCCTGAAACATGACAATAAATATAATTCCATAATCCAAACATCAGTAAAGCATAGCGTCACAAATAGGACTGTTTTTTTTAAATGTGATTTTATGTTGCGCCCTCAGCGTGAAATAGCCTGTACATGATAATAATAGGTAAAAATTGCTAACTAATTAATGGTGGTCCAGGACAAATACATCAACAAACTGATCTCAATGTTTTTTATAACACCCTAAGCAACATCGTTGCTATAGCGGTTATCCCGTACTTACCGGATTCACACAACCAAGTGCGGTGAAGTCGTGTCATGGTAAATAGAAAATTAACGTAATAACGGTGAAAGCGATTTTTAAGTGTAACAATGAAAGAGAGTTATTCTCTGCGGGCAAAAAACAATGAATTTACAGAAAGGGAAAAAAACAACCAAACAAATAATACATGATGATTCTTTTATCATGAACCAGTCAATATCTTACTGGGTTTAATTAATAATTTAATTTTTTTTTTATAATGTTTTTATAAAACGTGATCTCAATTTTTCATAATTTTATTTTGTTTTTACCCCCCTCTTAAATTTGTTATTTTGATAGCAACTTTTGAAACTTAAATGGTAACGTACCTATATATTTTGTTAACTTTTTAAATTGAGAATAATGTACTAAAAAAAATGGACTAGTCGGTAACCAGTTTCGGATAACTATTTTTGAAGTAATTGAAGTTTCAAGTTTAGGGCAGGAGGAAAGGTGGAGCGTAATTTTATTTTTATCTACGCGCATTTCCCAACCGCACTTCCCCTCCCATCCTAGCTTTTAAACTCTTATAACTTTAAAAATAGTTATCCGAAACTGGATATCGACCAGTGAAAATGTTTAGTACATTATTTTCAATATAAAAAGTTAATGAAATATGTGCGGTACCATTTAAGTTTCAAAAGTTGCTATCAAAATAACTAAGGTGGGAGGGGCTAAAAACAAAAAAAATTGTGAAAAATTGAGATCACATTGTATAAAAGCAATATGAAAAAAAAACATTTCAATTTCTTATAAAACCCTGTGAGATATTGAGTGGTTCATGATAAAAAAATCACATAATGTTTGTCGGATGTACAACGCGACCGCAGAAAGGGTTTTCATAAACGAAAAACACGTTCGTTGCGAAAACATTTAATCATAATATTAATGTAATGTTAATAATAATAGTTAGCTGTTTGGCTATCAAAATAGACATATTATAGTATAAATCCAAGAACAAAATAGTGACTCGCTTCTCAAAATCGACAAAGACTTATTTTATAATAATGTGAAATGGGATCAGACTTAAACGTGTAAAACACTTGTTGACACCAGAATTAAAAATTTAAGTAGAAAAAAAGTGATTAGGACTAGACATATAATTGTTATTATGCAACCAATCTTGTAAAATAATTTTAATATTATATAACTAATTCCGGATTTGCCGGATTCTAACCAAAGAGATAGTTTTTAACAACTTCACTCGCCAAGTTGTATTGTTAAAATTGTAAAGCTAGGTTGTTTACATTTTACCCAACAATTTTACTTACTGAATAAGTAATAATAATATATTTTTTAACTTGCAATTTTATCGACCAATTTATAAAAAAAGTCATTATTTATAGCAGAGAAAATTATGAGGATTAAGACTTTTCTCCTAAAACTAACATAAATGACCCGGAATTAATTTGATAAATAATAATATGATTGTAAATCGATTTTTAGTTAAATATTAGGTACTCATAGTTAGTATCTTTATAATGTTCGTGATATCGCATCACATCGGTATAATTTTCATGAAAGATATTTTTTGCCTTAAAACATTGGGTAAACCTATTATAACCAATATAACCTAATACAACATTGTATTCGTTTATATTCATATATTTTGTATTTAACTTAGATAGACCGATATATTTTTTTTATGGCCAAAGGTTAGATACAACAAAGGTGGCTTTACAAATATTATTTTAATACTCTCGACTACAACGCCACGACAACCGGTTTGTTGTTATGTTTTATAATAGCCATATTTTGTTAAAATTATATTTTTGTGACATAACACATAACCAAATAAATTAAAACAACTAAACAAATATTTAGTACATGAAGGGTCAAGGGGAAAAAAAGATCAATGTCAATTTTTTTGTGAAAATGAGATACTATTTTATTTTTTACTTTTTGTATAAGTAAAATGTATTTTTTTTTCTTTTACTCAAATATATTTAGTTTACCGACAACATGTTTTTCTCTCGCTCAACCCCTTGCTAAAATGACATTTTTTAAGTTAGTAAATTTCAAAAATTGAGTTTAAAAAAATCGACATTGATCTTTTTTCCCCATGACCCTTTATATAGGTTGATAACTTTTTTTAACTTTCTGAAGGCTATTTTTTTGTTCGACCAAGACTTTTTAAAAACACATATCATACTGGCTTAATATATTATAGTTCTATAATTAATTTATAATAAAGTATATTATAGATAAAATATTTGTAAGACTGTCAGTTCCAGTGGCCCGAGTCCTAGTCTCAGTAATTTAAACGTTAGTCTCGCACATTCTATAGTATATTGACCACTAAAGTGATATTTTTTACGTTTTTCAATCAAACTATTTTTTTTAAAGATACACCGATAAATTACAATATGAGTGTAGGTATTTGTGGTGACTAACGAGTGCTGTTGTCAGTTTTTTTTAGCATCGACGCGATCACGAGAAGTTATTAGTTATTTTTTCGATCTGTTCTCATTGAGCTGTGGCTGAATACTGCAAGATAATAACGTTAAAAGAGAATTGCATAAGGCGGTGCAAATAGCGCATAATAACAAGTATAATATTAACGTCCATTCACGCGATAATGGTATTCATATGATCATAGCTCGACCGCAAAACTAATAAGGGGCATACTTGGGGGGGGGGGGGGCTGTTAAATTGGATACGTACAACAACACACAGTAAAAATAACTTTATAATGATGAGCACAAGTCCAAAGCAACAGGCGTAAATATAATCTTTATACAGTCGATATCGGCTTTCCAGCTATGAAAATGTCATCTAGGACTAACAGTTTTTTGTTTACTAAATTATAATACTTGAGTTACAAACAAGTTATTATATTGTAATGATGTCAAAAGATCAACAGCATTATCACCTCTCTCATACCATATTACAAGTTAAGTGTATCAAACATGTATAAAGTTTTCAAAAACAATAACAAGATGAAATCATATTCATCAAAACTTTAAAATTATATAATATGGTCTATGGTTCAAAATATAAGTCTATACACTAGCGTAGGTATTAACTGACGTGTGAAGTATTTGATTTTTTTAATATACTTTTTAGCTTCTGTGAGCATGAAAAAGGAAAAGCGTGCGGTTTTAAGTATTTATCAAAATCGTGCGGTTTAATTCAAACTGAACGCGGTTTTTAAAATAATTCCCTCGAAAATAATAATAAAGTTTCTGACTCAAATGTAAGTATGTTTATTACTCCACACTAACTACGGGTATGTGGTAAAAATGTATACTAATTTTAAATTACACTTTTTAATGAAAAGATTTGTTCTTTTAGCATAATGTGCGAGCTTCAGGCGAAGGTCAATTGAATAACAATAATAGAAATTAAGTTAATTACAAACAAACTTCCCTCTCCACCGCAACCTAACCTTGTCCATATTCAATACTCGCTTAATTTATCGCCAAAGCCGTTACAAATGCACAGTGTAACGCATAACACAAAATGCCTGCAAAACACTAATGCAATCAGTCATCTGTATGCAATTCAATAGACATTCGTTGACGCGCTCTACAGCTTAGTTGATATTTTACCAATGCAACATAAAACTGAAAAATGTGAAAATATTTATCCAACAAAACTTGCTAGGTACTTATTTAATTATAATCTAAAAAGTAGTAGACTATTTTTAATAAAAACCCAGTTCCTCTGAATACGTGATGCAGAAAGCAAAGTAATAAAATCGTACCTACTAAAAAAAAAACAGGTTAAAACTTGACTAGCAGTACCTAATTTTAAAATCTTATAGCACTTGCATATAATGTAACTTTTTATGTTCTCGTGGGAATTTAAAATAGTTGGACTAAAATTAAAATGTATTAGTAGCAGCTTTATTACTTTATTTTAAAAGTGAATAAAACAATAAACCATATTTAAAAATATGATAAATGATAATTTCATATTAATATATATTTTAAATTTAAAAGTATGTCGTTATGACTTGTGTTTAAAAATATGACAAAAATTGTGTATAATATATTTTAAAACGTTGAAATGTTATTGTTAAATAACACAAGCTAAATTCAAGTATGGGGTTTTTAAAACTTAAAAATATTTAAAAATAAACTATTTTTATTACTAATATCAAGTGTAATTGCGATAACCGATATATCAACATTTTTTTGAATAATAAATTAAAAAATAAAACTTGAAAACAGGCTAATTTTTCTGAAAAGATTAAACTTTTTAAACGTTTGGTCCACCTTAGTCTAATAGAGATGCTGTATACTTGATTGCTCAATCCACAGCAGAAGAACGAAACCAATGTAAAACTAATCGTCTTTGAATGAAAGCTAAAATTATAACAATATTTATTTACGGCTAATGGCAGGTATTTATATAGCGGTGTTTAAAAAAACATATACAATAATTTATTAAATAATGCAACACACATTTATTGACCTCTTTAATTTATTGTGCTTTGAGACTGATCCCACCCTTCATATTATAATTTATATAGTAAACTGGAAGCTATATTCTTAAGCTATACTATATTACTAGATAATAATAAATAATCAATATTCCTAACTGGAAATCAAATTAATTGTATATTGGAAAATGATTTTAATTTAGTTAAAACTGCTGTATTGATTTTCCATTCCTCATATATTCAACAAACCTATTAGTAAACTTAATATACATAACTCTTCTATATTGATGACCTTAACATTTTTATTTTTTATTTTACATTATTGCTTCTGTATGTAAACTTAAAAATTACTCATGCATTGCTGTTTTTTTTATATATATTCTAGTTTTGTACTTTTTTTTCAAGAACACAATAAAAAGCGTGTAAGGCTATATTCTAACTGTATGGTGTACCCATAAGGTCACCTGTAACGCTAACTAGCATAAAGAAAACACTACATCTCAATTAATTATTAAAGTCTGCTATAGTAGCGAAAAGGTTATTGTTTTATTCTAGCACGTAAACCGTACATAATAAAATAAAAAATAAATAAAACGCTCACGACATTTACTATAGGGGTTTATGTTCAAAAATATATCAATTTAACATACTCTAACATTAGCTTAATTAACCGGCTTCCTTTTTTTTTGTTATTTTACACTTGTAAACTTAATACAGTCCTCTAAACCTAAACCGATATAATACAAAATAACTTGTGGAAGCAGGTAAAAATTACAACAATCGGAATTTAAATTCGATTGTTTGGAATCGATTTTGAATCTACTATTTTCCATTTAATTGATCGGTATAATATATCGGCTAGATATATTTTTAGAAAATTGTTGTTTTTAAATCCGAATAAAATTAACAATAATGACTAGATATGAAATTAGTGAACAAAGATGATAAAAGTGACTACTTTCCACCCCTGCAAATAATTGTCTGTAAATGAGAGAATTTTTTTTCTTTTTTTTTTTAGTAAATGAGAGAATATTTAGGATAATATCGAGTAAACCTAAATTTGAAGTGTAGGTTTCGTTTGCAATTTTACCTAAAAAACTAGATTAATAGGTAGCTATTTTTTTTTTTTGATTCTGAAGAAAACAATAAGATCTAAGAGTTCAACCAACTACTCAGAGCGAGTGATAGTTTTGATTTACAAAACAGAACGTAAAAAAAACATAAGTCATATTATTCATATTTTTTTTTGGTTAATTATTTACATACAGGTCTTTTTCGAACTACTGCGATTACCGCCTAAGCATTATATATTATGACCTACCAACGTGCGAACACGACTGAAAACGAAACTAATGATTTTATCGGATAAACGATAAGTACTACAGAGATACATACTCGATTTACGTAAAGAGTGTTCAATAAACTAATCGACGGCAGTTTCATAAATGTAATTAAACAGATAATAAAAATTATAAATACATAATATACAAATGTGCAAATAGTTGTTAATTCTAGTCTGAATAGGCTAATCAAATCAGTATTATTGTGCACTGCCATAATATTAAAAAAAAACCTTTTTACTTATTTTATCTTGTAACTAAAGTAAAAAATAATTGGATATGTATTAAAAGTAAAATTTTGTTTAATATTGTTTACACAATGCTTGTCACCCAAATGCATTAGCATTCTTTTGGGGGATGTGAAGGTTTTGTTTACTCATTGTGTATATCGACACGTTGTACTATGTTATTTGTTCAAGATAATCAAATGTACACCATCAAATGTACCTAACCATCAGTGGGATGGTTATTACTTATTATAGAAAGAACAAATGTCAATGAAACCGCATCCCGTGGCCGGAAGAAGACCAGGCTTGCACAAACAAATGGGTAAAGCAATTCCCAAAAACACTTGGGCGTGACCAAGCTTAAAGGGACATTCTACCGGAAATTGATAGTAGTGGAACATTTTTTTTTGGGGGGAAGGGGAGAGGATTGTCGGGATAAGTCGGGCCATGACAGCTTACGAGCGTGTGCCGCAGGTGTTGATGCACATGCACCCGTGCTGCACAGCAGATGCGCCTTAGATGCGCCACAATAATATTAAATTATACCTGTATAGTAATAATGACAAGTGTATACATAATACACACATGTACTAATATGAGTAGTATAATATGGTGTATAATTATCGCGCCGTTGATTTTAGACAAAAAAAATAATAATATGGTTTCCCGCTAACATAGATGAGGGCGAAAAAATGTACAAATTGTATACCGAAACAGATAGGACCTCTGCATTCTGCAATGGCGTTTTTCTTATTCAAAACTCCAGTTTTCTACCACGAGTCATTGAAAACATTTAAAATGAATACAATTCTTAATACACCCAATATTTTTGGAAAAATTACTTCATACAAAATATGTAATCAGAATGAAAACTGAGATAATATTTTATGACACTGATACGTTATAATCCTGTTCCAATTTATCTAATATAATTATTTATATAATTGTATATGGAACAAATGTTAACTAATAAAAATAAATTTAAATTTAAATTTCAGCTTCATTTTCTACACTGTAATCAATAAACATAAACATTGCTAATCAAAAAATAAAAAACTAAAAAAATTAGTTTAATTATTGAGTTGGAAATTAAAAAAAAAAAACATACTCCATATACAATTGATGTGCCAATACTAACAACGAAATGTACTGTTTGTTAACGCGACTTTCAAACCCAAATAAAATATCTTTATTGAAATAGGCACATATTTGCACTTAACGATTAACCCCATAAAGTTTTTTACCAACACTGTTATACTATTAGTGAATGTAACATAATTTTTTTCTTATAATCGACCTACTAATCTCAACCAAAATTTTGATAATATCAGTAAATTTTAATTTTTGCATTATATTTTATCTACTTGCTTCTATTGTTGTAATGAAAATGACAGTTGGCCACTTTTTTTTATATGATTTCATCGTTTCGAAAATACGATTAAGATGTATAATATTTTTATGAAATGTACAAATGTTAAGTTTCTGAAAAAATGATAATTTTTTTACCAAACAAATGTAATTTTTGAGCTAATATTGAACATTGTCAAATCCGTAACTTGTCATATGGAAGAGTCGATATCAATAATAAAATTAGTTAAGAAGTGGGCTGTCATGTGAATTATTGGGAAAATTTGGTTACCCTATTTCAGGCAATCTAGAAATAGAAAATTAATAGGTGATGGAATCTTATGAGAATTTGGGACACCCACTCGCCCGGTCTTTATCGTCCTAGACATGCGTTACCATTGTCAACCATCCGTTTGCTTAAAGCCCATCAATGATTGGCATTGCAATTAGTTTTTCCAATATTTAAAAGCATCAGTACTCACTATTCTCCCGTGTTCTGGTTTCCGGCACAGGGGGTAGTGCAAATACAGAAGACAACAACGGTTAATGGTCTCACATTCGCGAAAGTCGCCGACGCACACGACAGTCGATCGATAGCGCGAGAAGTGATGAAAAACGACACATAGGCGTTTATGTTTCCGTTACGGCGACCGTTAATTATAATACAACACTATCAAGTATTATCGGTCGAGTCTGTGAATAATAAAAATAACGCAATAAGTGATCGGTTAGACGAACAACGACCGCGAACATTCGGTCAACAGCCGCCAAGCGCACCGACTGTTGATCACCGACAAGTCACACGTGACTGCCGACGATGAACGGCCGCCGCAGTGCAAACCGTTTCGGGGCGCCATCTATACCCAACTACAAAATAAAAACGGATCTCACTTGGTTTTGTTTACAACAAAATAATATTATTTTCTCTTCAGAGGATATTTTAAACGTTGTATAATTTCGTGTGAGGACTGAGGACTGACCTGAAGGCTACCCGACTGGTGCGGGAGGCAACGGAAAATAACCGCACCGTAAAAATTCTCTTCCTTAGGACACACCTGCGACTGTAAACCAATCGACGGGTTGATTACTAAATAGAGAGATTATTTTCAATCAAACTCTAATCTGTGATAATAAACTTAATATAATATATGAATGTCATGTAACAATATGAGTCATAATATCATGATATCTATTATTAAATATATACGCGCTTTTAAACATAAAACTTACTATTTCCCGTTTGTTTTTTGTTCTTAATGAAATTAAAAATAAAACTTTTGTACAAAAGTTGATTGGTGGATACTTGATATCCTGTTGTTTTTTAACGGTATATATATATATATTATGATTATCGTGCGACTCGAACGATATTAATAATACGATAATATTTTAAGTTAAATCTAATTTTTTATTTGCATTAGACGGTTGTTTTCAGTTTTTGAACGTTAATCATTTTTGAAATAAAGAACCTATTCAGGCAAATTATTAATTTGTTTTTAAAAAGCGGTTTACGCATAATTATTTTAGTACCAGACAGTATCTGACTAAATCGGCGTCCACACACAAGTTGTGTGGTCGTCATAATATAATGCGCATTCAATACAATATTTTCCTTGACAGCTTATCATTATGGTATAATTTATTATATATTCTATCTGTATGAATTTAACTCAAAATTTGTACAACTTTGACACGTTACATTCCGTACATTTAGTACCAAACGCAAAGCTGTAAACATCTGTTTCAAAAAATATCTTGGCGCGTTTATCCTTGATGAAAATAATTACTTATTTAAGTATTAAATTACCATTCTAAACCGCCGAACAGGCATTCTTATATTCCAAATTAGGCAAGTAAAACGTGTGAAAAGAAGACCGCCCAATTTGTGATTAATGAACTGTTAATTACAATTGCTTGTATCCGCTTATACTTGGTTTCACTGTGTCATGTTATGCGGTATGTTCAATAGACTGCCGGGCAAAATTACTCGGCTAAAAACACAAGCGGTGGCGCACCCAAAAATCTTGTATAATTGCCAGACCGGTAAAATTGGGAGGGCGGGTGTCGTGTTTGTTTTAGCTTCGATGCGGACCTCCCATAATACGAAGTGATACTATTTTTCTCTCAACTTACACTATATGACCGCCTGACAACGGTTTATTTACAGTTAAAAATCGCTTACTAACATAACAATGATACCAATGACCAATAGATGAAAATAATTATCTATTCCCTATTCAAAATCAATAAACACACTCAACATTAATTTATTTTCAGCAAAAAAATACTGTACCCTTTGGTTGATTTAAACAAATTAAAAACTATTTTTATTTTTCTGTTAATAGTTTTTATCAACAAAGTCAATATCGATTACAATATTATCAAATTAAATGTGATTATGGATAGATTATTTTGTTAAGTGTAGATTAATTTTTTGATTTTAGCAGGACCACTGCGGTCTATGTGCTACGTTGGTACAGCAAAGCTAGTCCAGACAAAAGAGGAAAACAGCATATAGGTTTAATATTAATAGCAATAAGTTTATACTATTTTATAAAATATTTAGATTATATGTTTTTTAAAACTAAATATTTTTCTCGACATTGTAGATTTCTTAACTTACAAATTTTGTAGAGCTAGTATAGTTGTCTGGATTTAAGGTCTCGAAAATACAATTGAAAATATATCTAATGTATAATAAATTAAGTAGATTTTTTTAATATAAATAATTATTATGCAAATTATTCATACTTAAATCATAAGCAATCATCCAGAGTAGTAGTTCATTTTTTAATGAACCGCATAATTATCAAAATCATGCAAAATTAACCTCCCTAGTGAACATTCTACAAAGATATGCAAGGTCAACTTTGATTCACTTTGGATGATTCATCCAAAGTGATCAACCTAAGTAAATCGTATAAACCTCACTATACATTGTGAATATATACATGATGTTTTAATAATATACCAATAAGCTATAACTGTAATACAAATTTTTTATTGACCCAATAACATAAGCCCGACATAATGTGACTTTATTTTGTGTATAGTTAAATTGAGCAATATATATATAATTGTTGTAGTTGTAAGTTATTGATGTGTGTAGGTTGTATCTGTTGTTAACTCTATATTTTTACTATTAACAGGACGCATCCTAGATAGTCCCTGACATATCAATGAAAGGTAATTAACATTTGCCACTTGAGTTAAATTCCTTTATATTGTATTAAATTGACTATTGAACTCATATCGCTTTTTAAAATCATCGACCAAAATCCTAAATAAAATATATATGTCATGTTGTACTATGTTGCTTATGTGAACAGATTTAGATACAAATATTATAATTAGCAAACCGAGTTGAAGACAAATTGCTGTATTGTGATATTATAGGCTATTTCATATGGCTAAATCAATCCGCAGTTATTTGAACAAATTACAAAACGGTCTGGGTAAATAATTAATTAGATAGCTTAATTTCTTAATATATGAGTACATGGCACCGCTTCAAAAATCCATTTTTCTTTCTATATATATAATATACACAATAATATGGATATAATAAATAAACGTGATTATCCAACTGTTCTAATTAGCATGACTGCATGCATAGTATACCATAACTATAGACGTTTTTTAAAATCTATTATTATGATATCAATATGTTAGCGTTGTGCAGATAGGTAGGCTTAATTTGAATTTTGAAATTTTATGAGAGATAACTATACTGTATTGTACATCAAAACAAGATTACCATAGCTCAAAACAAAGATTTGAGTACACACTTCAAAACTCAGTTCGTAATTTAATACGATAACTAATCAGTAATTAATGTAACAAAACAGTGCTTTCATTATTGAGAGTGAAATTATAAATAATCCATTTTTATCTAAAAGAGCAACACAATGCTCAATAAACAAACTTTTTTAAAGCGTGTAAATAAATAATTTTAAACTTAAATCTGAAACTCTTTTAAGATTTTCTGATAGGAGTTTTAGAATTAAAACCCCATACCTAATTCTGTGGTGCTCGGGTAATATGTCTTAAGTCCAAAATAACTAATTTTTTAAAATAACTAATTTCACAACCAAATCATTTTTTTTTTTTACACAATTAGCACTTAACCCCATTTTCGAAATACCTTTTATCCGAGCACCACAGAATTGATACCTACACAAACTTAAGTGAATTCTGGAATAATATTATTGGTACTGTTGTCAAATAAATTATAGTTTAAACTGTTTTAATAATAAATTACTGACGTCTTAATAGTTATTATAGAACGTTTTAGTTGTACGTAAATCTTTCGGTTATTTAAATTTATGTAGGTATGGCAACATAATAAAAACGTCCTAATAAGATATTATTTAAAACAAATCTGCTAAGACTGATCGTCTTACATTTTATGTTTCTAAATTAATATAATATCAAATAATTATAAAATATTTTTTAGCCGCCAGTTATATTCTATGATTTATCATTGTGTGGCGTTTTAATGCAAATCTATTTTTATTAACGACCAGTTAATATGCTTAAATTGTAAATTAAGATCATTCGTTTTAAAATGTATTTTTTTTTTATTTATGTACAATCCCTATGATTATTATGTTTATTAAAAAATATGTCCAAGATGCATAAACCAATGCAAGTACTAATAATTATGGCCTGCCAATATCGACTAAATAGGCCATAAGGGCCATTTCACATTATTATATCCCGGTTAATAAAAACGCCTATACAGTATACAGCCAACGCTTTCATGTGCGTCGACTAAAAATATTAACATAAAAATTAAATATTAAGGTAAATATTTTAAGATTATTTTAACAAGATAAACATTTTAATTATGAAATATTCTTATTCCAAATACCACTTGTAAAGTAAAATGGTCAATTATTAACGTCATGCACTACTAAAGTTTAAACCGTTAACGCAGACCTTGATAATTTAGAAAAAAAGTATAACGAAATTAACCGCTCACGTAAGAAGAGTTTTTTTAAGAGTAATAAATAATATATATATATTGTTATCTGGTAATCTAGAAGGTTACTAAAAATGAACGTTGAAGGTTACTTTGGGTGTTTTTTTATTCCTTAAATAATAATCAAAATAAAAACTGAATTTGTAATTGGTTTACAAAATTATTTCAATCATATCTTCAAAAATAGTCTTTAATATTTCAATTAGTAATCTGTAACATTTTGAAATGTGAGAATTTGAAATACAATACAGTAAGATCAATAAAGAACGTGGACAACCATAACAATATTCTAGCCAATGTTCACAACTAGTACTTTAGATTAAATGTATATTGACTTCGGCGTAGCTGAGAATCTATACACGAACCAATTCACCCAGTTTTTCTAACCCACATATCTCTGTTTCCTCTTAAGATAAGCTTTTGAAATTTGAAACATAGATTAAGCTTGAGTAGTTTAAGATACTGTAAACATTTGAGCTCTTAATAGTAAGCCTTTTCAAAAGGGAAGAATTTCAAAGTTTTCAATTTTGTTACTGACTGACTGACTGACTCATCATCAAAATTATAAAACACCCGTTTAGGTAGAAACGTGAAATTTGGCACAAAGGCAGGTCTTATAGTGCAACTAAAGGGAAAAATCTGAAAGTTGCAAATTTTTTAAAATTAATGCTGCTTTTAGGGAATGTAGTTCTAAATGCATGATGTGATGCGCATGAATATTGTTTGATTAGATTAGCACGGGTTTTTATTAATTACAGATTCCCGCGCCGCACTGTCAAACCAAACGTTACAATATAACAATAAGCAATTGTTTGTAATTA